CCAAGAGTTGGTGGTGATGACTAGATGCCTTCCATCTAGTCTTACACTGCTAACTTAGAGACGGCTAGCGCAGATAGCCCTCGTGTAGCTTTGTGCGAAATTCAAAAACAAACAAACAATCGTTTTGAATATTCGCGCAAAGCTACACAGGGGTTATCTGCGCAAGCCGACCGTGATTTTCAACTGGTAGATTAGAAAGAAGGCAGCTAGCCAACAGCACCCACCGCCAACTCTTGGGCTAATTGAATAGTAGGATTTGACCATCATTCTTCAAATATAACCACGGTTCCATAGCACAGAGTACACTTTTGAAGCAACAGGACGCGAAACATGGATCTTCAAATATATATAGATCAGCACCACGCCCAGTCCACAAACAAAGTTAGGGAATCACAAGCAATTAGGTGCATAAATAATTCAAAAATGTGTTTTAAAAACTACTGGAATATGGATTCCTTTGCTGATTTTAGGGTTAATGAGTTCAGAATGATTGACGACAAGTTATTATTATTTCTTGATTTTGGTCGCATACTTCCGTTGCTTTCCTCGACGTAGGCCGGGCCTGGTGCGATAAAGTGATGTACATGAATTTAAGAATTCGTGGTTCGCGTCCTGTTTGCACCACAATCGCGTTCCGCAATTTCGGGCCGTAGGTGCGTTATAAGAGTGACGGTCAAAGCCCACTGTTCTATTAGATTACCTGAGGATACGATTAGCTACTTCTCTTCTACTTCAAAATTAGGGACAGCTAACTTAGTAGCTTAGCACGAATATACGAAACAAGAAGGTAGACCAATAGAATTTTCTATTTTGTAGTGAATTTATAAGTAGGAAATACCCAGAGTAACAAAGCTCTTTCCACTGAGCTAACCAGAAGTTTCGTTTTGATAATAAGCTGGATTGGAAATAACTGTACACGTACGAGTGTTAGAAGCAAGTCGAACTTGTTTTCAGAAAGTATTGTTTCTGTGTGATTTCTTGTTTGGACAAGATAGAAATGGTTAGAAAACGCATTGTCTAAAATGATAGAAGAAAAACCGTTCAGGACAATTGTTTGACGTTTTATTTGAGGCCAAGCTGACGATGGTGTAAATTAGCTTTACACACAATAGAAATCGCTTCGAACCACCGCGAGCTTCTGTAAAATTTAAACTGCCATATGCGATTAAAGTTTTGACAAAGGCGAAAACATTCTTAAAAATTACACGAAGAAAGCAGATCAATAGAAAAGTTTTGATGGCTATATATATATATATATGTGTGTGTGTGAAGACAAAGGGCACAGAAATTCTAATGATAGAATTTATCTTAATAACCGAGAGTTAGTAAAGGAATTTATCCTTTGATGTTTATCATTATTCTCTGAGGACCCGGTACAGGATACAAAGACAATGAATAGTTTTCCCTGGCTCCTTTCATACCCAACTTTATACTTTTAAAGAATGACTTCACCAGTAGGTGTATGTTGACATAACAAGGCGTGTTATCAGCCTAACATTTTGTGTTAGTCTGACGTAATAATTCCCATGAGCACTTGTTTCAACCACACTGTAAGTCACAATCTTTCAACTTTCTGTCATAAACAGGGGGAAGTAGGTTTAGTAAAGTTTAACGTTTTGTTTGTGCGTTTCGGGTATTATGTTGACATTTTCATAGTCTTTGGTGTAAAATGATTAGAATAATAGCAGTTGAAGAGGTTTTTATTCACACCTCTGGTTTCCTTGTTTAACCGCGAGCAACATATATTATTCGAGCATTTAATTTATATTAAACATCTCAACATTTATTTGGTGCGTTTTTGTTTGTCGCCGACTAATCGTTTGGTTTTTTTTTATTTCGGTAACACTAAAGTTAATTTTCTCTTTACAATACGTCTTTGTTACCCCCTATCAATAGAAGAACGTAAGACTTGTTTGTCATGTTGTTAAACAGTGTTTACTTCAGTTTCAGATCTCTGAGACTAAATACAGGATTTGATACATATAGTCTGATTGAGATTGTCAGAAAAAGGAATTCTTACGCTGCCATTCAGTTCCTTGATGTTTTTAACCCTAGAAATACCATTAGTGCCCATACCAGTTTTTAAACACATTTTTTTCTAAACTAATTAAACACGAAATCCCTTTGGGGTCCATTGGTTGGTTGGTTCGTCACAGGGTTCCTAATGACATACGAATTACAAAACGAAATCTGAAAATGTATGACATCTTTAGTGTAGTTAACCCCACTAATACTGCTGAGTAAAAAGTGGGTGATCTCACACATTTTTTTTTTTTTTCGTTCTTTACACTGAGTGCTCTGAGGATAACATGATACAATATGTGGACCCTACCGTAAGTGAACAGTCTAAAAACAAGTCGTTATTTGAGTGTTAAGTACGTAATGATTGCATTAGTCGATACCGGAGTTGTTGTTTGTTTTGTTTTTTTTTTTTTAGAAGTTATTCCTTCATTGACAAACAGTATTCTGTTTTGTAAAGTCCATACGGTAGTTCATATATTTTCACACACACACCACAGTTTGTAGGTTTATAACGAGCGTCATCGAGATCGTTTCTCTTCTGAACCGTACTTCATGCACTCCGGATAAACGTTAAATATCGTGTTGTGTTCAACTTTCTCCAACTCCGAGTTGCAATTTAATGGCAGAGCGGTAATTAGTAGTTATTACCATGGGGCAAGAGGGGGCATATGACCCCCACCTTGCTCGTATTATGATGCAAACTTAACATCCTAGTTAAACTAGATATTTTAAATTAAAACTGTAAATTTGTGTTTGCGTTTTAAGCACACGTAACAGATATTCTTTTAGTCTGTTGACTTACACTGTAAAAAAAAAAACTGATCTCATACATATATGTTTTACACACACACACACACCCCTGCGTGGTTATTATTGAGTATTGGAAGGGGGAACTTTTATTTTTGGTTTACCTGAAAATACATTCAGTATATGTGTTTGTTACTGAACGAATAACGAGCAGTATTTTGTATTATGTTTTCTAGAAATACGTTTTACAGTGAAAATAAAGCAGTGAAAAAAAAACACATTTTTTATAATTACCATAGTTATTGATAAATGGTTAAACGTTATTTCTGTTCATGAATGGTAACTCATCAGCGTTGTGAATGGCATGGGAAGGGGGGTAACTTTAAAATACAAGATTTGTCATTAGAACAGGTTGTGGATCTATACTTCTAAGTAGCGTTTCTGCCTCATCTTGAATTAAGACAAAACATTTCTAATAAACTATATGAACATGCCTCGTCTGAGTACTTCATTGACAGAACTATACAATTTTGCTTTAGTGAGTATCATACAGTTATTGTTTAACATGTATTTCTTCTTAAGATCATTTTCCACTGGACAACATAACTACTAGACACGGTGTTTCCTATTAAGATTTTTGATGTTCTGAAATGTTTTATTTTTTCATGTATTAAAATATCTTTTATCTTGCTAGTGAAAGTAACATAAAGACTGTGTTGGCTGCTAAAACGTGCAAAGTTTTTTTTGTTTTTCGTGGGCCCTAGCGTGTCTCCTCCTCGATAAAGGAGATCAAAACCACAATTAGTACAACAAATCTTTCTTCATGATTAAGTGAACTTTGCACGATCACTAGATTTGTCTAGCACTGCAAATATTCAAAGTGATGACCATGCATGGATGCTTGTACAGAAGTAGGCTTAAGAAAAGTTATCAATCTGTTTTAACCCCTTAGGAAAGAAATGCTGAAAGCGCCATCGAAGCTCTTAAAGAATATGAACCCGAGATGGGCAAGGTGGTTCGATCAAACAAACAAGGTGTTCAGAAGATAAGAGCGAGAGACATTGTCCCTGGTGATGTTGTGGAGATTTCTGGTGAGTCTCACAAACGACGGGTCTGGAGAGTTCTGAAGTTTAACGTATATTAGTAATCTGAGAACCTGGTGGCAAAGTTTATCATTAAATGAAGAAAAGTTGAATTATAGAAGCTTATGATACACTTGATTGTTTGTAAATTCTAATATTTATAATGTTTTATCAGCTTAGAAGATGATGGCTCCATCTATGTCATTCTGATTAATGTCGTTCGGTGATATCCATCAACTTTTGTAATTCAAATACACGACACATATGCATCGGGGTGGCCAAGTGTGGCAGGCTTTCGGTAAAATTTAAGTGTCTATTGAACACAAATAATATCAGATGTGTTACATAAGTACTTCTGCTCAAGTTAGACTTGTAAGTTAATGACAGCAGTCTGACTCAGACATGTCAGAGTGCAACGTGATGCTCGTATGAAGAATAAAACTATTTTTTCCATTGTACAGTCTGCGTACTGTGTTTTCAAAACCACTGAAATGCATAACTACAGTTTTTTTCATTTATATTGTATCTGATGTTTACTCTTCTCAAAACAGCAATGTACAGTAAATGAATACTTGATTATTCTGACATGAAGTGTGTGTTGTAGTTCAATGGCACTCTCTAAAAGGTTGTGACATACGCACTTTGACCCACACTGTACATGTAGAGTTAAGAAGTGGGAAAGCTGTAGAAACTTTGTAGCAAATTGTACTTACAGTTAATATGAAAGAACAAAGCTAATAGAAGTTTGGTCTTAAATGTCAAGCTGTATACACAGATTTTTCTTCTTTAGGTGTTTTTAATTTCTGTTTTGAGTACTATTAATTGGATATTGATTTATTGAATCTTGTCTGTTAATGTAAATTGTAAAAATGCTTAAGGTTATAGGAACCATGTGGTTTATTTATTGAATCTTGTCTGTTAATTTAAATTGTAAAAATGCTTAAGGTTATAGGAACCATGTGTTTTTTTGTTATTAAACCAACATCACAAAATGTTACAACATTTCAGTTTGTGTTAACAATGTTTAAACATTCACAGTCGGTGATAAGGTACCAGCTGACATTAGACTCATTAAGATTTTCTCTACGACATTACGAGTGGACCAGTCCATTCTTACAGGTGAGAAAATAATGAAATAACTGGTAGTACCAATTAGAGATAAAAAAAAAGCCATATATTAATAAGTAATAGGAATTTTAAGGGTTAAAATTTAATGAAAGTTGTGTAAACAGTTTAACAAACCAAAAGAAATAATTTTCATAACTTTTATGTGTATGTCTATAAACATTAAAGAGCGTAATTTCTGCTCGAGAATGTTCACGGAGTATCTGGACTGACTCAAACATAAACAATTTAAATTGAGAAGTGATAGTTTAAGCTTTGACTACTTGCCACAAAGTGCAAGAAAATCTAAATATTTTATTTAAAAGATAGTCTTGTGTTGTAGCTGTGAATAATTTATTTCTATGTTAACAATCTTAATATAAAGTATCTGTGGGGCCGGCATGGCCAGGTGGTTAGGGTGCTCGACTCGCAATCTGACGGTCGCGGGTTCAAATCCCCGTGACACGAAACATGTTCACCCTTTCAGCTGTGGGGGCGTTATAATGGGCAGGTTATTCTAACTAGTCGTTGGTAAAAGAGTAGGCCAAGAGTTGC